GCGAACTTACGGTTTCTAAGCTTTGAGAAAGGCGAAACATGTCAATCAATCTTAATTATGTTGCGTGGGAAAATAGGCTTAAGTAAACCTGAAGAAAAAAAGATAGGTTGTGTGTGAAGCTTTCTTTTGCTTAAGGAATTTAAAATTTAGTTGTCTTGAAATATTTCTTAGCTCATTTAGGCTCTAGTGTAAAGACTACCAATGACAAAGTAAATTAGTAAACAAAGAAGAGAAGGATTGCTGACGGACTAGATAAAATTCGCTGTTATCCAGCCGGTGTTGCGTCCTTGATGTAAGTTATTCGCAAACCGGAATTTGAAAAAGTTTTGCTTGTGGAATCCGGAATGCTGGGATTTGGAATCCAGAATTCTGTTCAAGTAATCGCTCGGGAATCACACAAGCGATTAGAAATGGAATCCAAGTTTCAACGTCAAGGAATCCGGAGTTCAGTGCCTGGAATCCGTAGGCACTGCGCAGAATCCAGAATCCAAGCATTAAAAAGACTGTCTTGGATTAGCGTTGGGACGAAATGTTGATCCTAAATGTCAATTATTTTCTTGTCGCTTTTCTTTTTTCTTTTATTCTTTCTTGTTTATTGACCCACTTCCTCTCTTTACCCGTGACGGACGAGGGACCATTGTTGCTCTCGAACAGTAACGTGTCTGAAGCCACGAACCAGTCGATTAAATTAAATGTAAGCAATTTGAACTGCATTGAAAGCTCAGTGTGCTCGTGACGTAATTGCATTTTACGGAAAAAACATCGCCAGAAAGTCAAATCGACATGCATATGCGCAGTTGTAGCGTTGAAGTTCACTAACGTTTGCAGAAGACATTGGAATTCCATTATTTACTGCTTTATTAATAAACATATTTCAAACTGCTCAAGCTGTCGCCGATCTAGTTTAAGTCCTCTGTTGTCAAAATTTATTTAAAGTGTGTTTCGGCTGGAAACGTATCATTTTCGGTTCAGTTTCGTTAATTTTGTAAAGAAACATTTTATGGCACCATTTTGAAGCACGCGGGGTCGAAGTGCTAAGTGTACCAAAACTAAATTGTAGTTTCCTGCTACTCATGATACATCATCGACCTTACATTTGATCCATTTAATTGCAAAATATCTGGATGATTCTTAAATTAAAAAACTGAGTTCGATTTCCCAAATTGAAACCCTGCCACAGTCGTCGCTCAGATAGATGCCACTTAACCTTCACCAAGAGAAAATGAGGTGATCACTGATCTCTTGCCATCGCTCGAGAGCGGATGTAAGGGGAAAAAGTCACTGCAAACGTCATTTTGTAAAAAAAAAATACCCCAGGCGTAAAAAATAAAGCATTGATTTACCTAATGAGACTAGAACCGAAATTACCCATAATCTCTGCGAAACTTTCGCGGGTTTTTACAAAGAAAGCTCTAATCTCGTACCCAGATCTCTTGATGACGAAGCCGAAGGCGAGATCTGGCCAAGTAAGAAAATTCAATTTTTTTGATTGGCTTGGTTGTGAGTGAATGACGTGAGTGTTGTCATCTGCGCGCGCTATGGTGTGTGCAATTCATTCTTTGCAAAGTCTTTTGTGTTCAAATAAATATTTTCACTAAAGTAGCAGTTTTCTGTCTCAATATAACGTGTAAAACCATTTTTAACTTATCTTTTAAGACAGACTTTTTGAAACTCTCTCTCGGTGTCAATAAAGGTTTTTATTTTGAAAAGGGTAAAAATATTCTCACTTGGAAGTTGGCGCGTACTGCTTTGAGGTTTTAGCGCGCGCTATGATAATTAAATTCAAACTAACTTTGTCGCGTTGAATTTGATGTTAAAAAGAACAAAAACAACAAAAAATTAGTTGGTTCATCCTTAAGACGTGCGTATAACCACGTTTTGTCAGAAAAAACCTCACAGCTCTATCAAATTCATAGTTTAAATTGAGGATCTATTTCGAGCATGCACTCTCATCGCCTGTCACATTTCTGACAGGGAATTACGTGTACAAAATCGGATTTGACCAGATCTCGCCTTCGGCTCCGTCAATAAGAGATCTGGGTACGAGGTTTAGAAAGCTCATAAGTGTGCAAGTGTTATCTCGTTTGTATTGTTTATACTACATTCATCAAAGAAATTTTGACATGTCCTCCTTTTATGCGGAATAAAATGGAACGCCATAACTGTCTTATGATATTTTGTTTTCTTATCCGTGGTGCTTTTCTTATCATCTTCGGTGCTTGCATCATGATATTCGGTGCTCTGGTTGCTATAATCGGCGCCAGTGACCTTATACTCGGCTCTTTATTTAAGGTACTCGGTACTTTCCACTTTATACCCGGTGTGCACGCCATGATACTCACTGCTAACCGCTTTATACTCGGTGCGTTTGCCATTATATTCGGTGCTTGGATCAATTTTAGCGGTGCAGCTTTCTTTATATTCGGTGGCTAGTTTGCCATGCTCGGTGCTTTTCCCGTAGTCAGTTTGCACCTGATTTGTGGTCAGTTTAGCATTTTGTTCGGTGCGAACATATTGCTACTCGGTACAAACAACTTGCTATTCGGTGCTCAGTGATTCGGTTCATATAGCATTATATTCGGTGCATTTGCAACATGGTATTCGCTGAGTCAGTATATCTGGTCATCTAAACTACTCCAAAGCACATGCTCACATCGTATTTGTGAGACTGGTCCCCAGAGCCCACCGTTTCGACTGGTCATGTGGTCACCGAGCGGCTCTGGAACGAGAATTGGCGATATCTACGGTCAGCGAACATGACGTATAATATACACCAATTACAAAATGGCGACGATGGCGACGATGGCGACGATGTCTTCGGTGTTGAGAAAATTGAAAATGGACGGTTTGATAGATCGGTTTGAAGAAGAAAAAATATCGCCTGACATTGTTTGTCAACTGTCCCTGCATGAACTCAAGGAACTTGGCCTACAAAATCGGAGCGAAATAATGACTTTAAGAATAGCCTGTGTAACGTTTGGTGCGGAACAACCAATGAAATTTCCAAGTGCTCTCGGACCTCCTGCTTTCGATATCCCAAAGTCAGTGTTTGAATGTTATTTGGAAGAAGACTTCCCTATCTCAGAAATTGCTAATATGATGTCAGTATCTGAAAGTACGATTTACCGCCGAATGAGACTTTATGGACTAAGCAAATTACAGTTTTCCAACATATCTGACGAGGAACTTGATCACCAATTGCATGAAACAACGAAAGAATTTCCACGTTGCGGTGAGGTACTTCTGAAACAGCTGTTGTATGAAAAAGGGGTTAAGGTTCAACGAATGCGGTTAAGATATAGCTTACACAGAGTAGATGGATTAGGTGTCCAGGAACGAACAAAAGGACGTCTCCAAAGAAGAGTGTACAGTGTGAAGAGTCCTAATGAGTTATGGCATGTTGATACCAATCACAAGCTGATTCGTTGGAATTTTGTTATTGTAGGTGGAATAGACGGATTTAGCCGGTTGCCCGTAATGCTGGAGTGCACTGATAACAATTCTGCTGCTACTATTCTCAGATGCTTTTTAGATGCTGTTCATGAGTTTGGTATACCAAGTAGGGTTCTAAGTGACAAGGGTTTAGAAAATGTTGGCATAGCTGATTTTATGATTGAAAACCGGGGGGGCGGGGGGTAACCGAGGTAGCATGATTACAGGAAAAAGTACCCATAACCAACGTATAGAACGTTTATGGAGGGATGTGTATGAAGGAGTTTTGGGCTTTTATTATGACCTGTTTTACTTCATGGAAGACAACCAAATCCTTGACCCTTTAAGTGACGTTCATCTTGCTGCACTTCACTTCATATATTTACCTACGATCAACGAGAAATTGAAAATATGGCAAAATGCCTGGTCTCGGCATCGCATTCGCACCATCAGGTCTAGTCCACTTCGGCTGTGGTTGGCTGGACAGATGCAAGACCCTGGGCCAGATGCCTCAATGTTGGATCTGAATAATTATGGTGTAGAAGGAATTGTAACTGATGATGAAGTCAGGGACAACAGGCCAGTGTTTTGTCCGCTGGTAATTGAAATTGATGAGCCTTGCAAAACTGAACTTTATTCAAAAACATACACATCCTTCAACCATGGAATTGAAGACTTTCAAACAGCAGCTGAAGTTATTTAAAGATACAAAGGAATTTAACCTTGGTGATTCTTTGTAGAACTTTATTACAATCTTGATTTTCCAAACAACAGAGGAAATGTGAGTGATTAGACAAATAATTATTGCAGCTTTGAAAATTTAGAGTAAAATATCACTCACTTTTCTTTTTTGCTGTGAAAGGCAACTAACCAGAAGTGTGTTGATTGGAAAACCAAGATTCTATGCAAGTTCAAACAAGAAACTGTTTTGCTGTACATGTAACTAGATTTACACTTTAGCCCTTTAAGCCCCAATAGTGTATGACCAGCATCTATTTCTTCTGACAGCACACCAGTGTTATCACAAGATACACAGAGAGTATGGTAAGGAGAATAGAGCATATTGATATTGGCGGTTGAAGGGTTAAACAAACCTGCCCAGTTGTCATTAAGTATGAGTTACTAATATTATTATCACTAGTTTAAACCAGTCCACAACTAATGAATGGACTACTTAACTCTGCCCACTTCAAGAAATTACAAGGGCAGTAGCCACAAAGAAAAAAAGGTCTCAAGGCACTTCACAAAAACTGCCTTCAAGATCTACAAAGTCATGAACTAAAAAGGGTACGGCAAGCCTCACCCTTTCCGTCAGAATGGATAACAAGATTCATTTGTACTTAGCAGAAATCCTAACACCTGAAGTTATGATCAATCTGACATTTTCTAAATCTACAGGCAAAAACTCTATAAAATGTCCCAAACCTAAGCAGTGCATATTTTTTAGCATTTCAACTGTAACAAAACAACATCTACATTGTAAAGGCTATTGGTACTTAATGACCTGTAGCATGGAAAGAGCAGAAAATGATAGTTCATAATTTTCTGGAGGGTGGCGATACCTGTACTTAAGCATGACCAAAGTAAGCATTTGAAAATGCTAGGTCATACAAGTTATATAACTGTTTTTCTGTCGGAAGGGAATGATTGGCAGATGGCCGTGGCAGAGTCAAACGGCAAATGCAAGTATTGGCTGAGGGAAGGAACGAAGTTGTTGCTTCTACAAATGCAAGGCTTGGCTGAATTCGAAAACCCAAGGCAGGTTCATTGTCTGCACCTGTTGTAAACTGCAGGATGTGGCCAAGGCTTAAACCAGCTCTTCTCCCACCTGTAGGTCAAAGAAACATGACCAACTGTTTTAGTCCAATCATTTGAATATAGTTGCTTCAAAAAACCTACCGGAATATGGTATAATATTGTAAATAGATACCGTACAAGTAAGATCTACAGCCTTTACATGATAAATCCATTCTAGATAGTCAAAAACAATTTTCAATACCTGGTTTAAGTCATATTTAGTCAGATCCAGTTTGATCCTTGTTAATCTTAGATAAAGATATAAGCAGTTCTTCCTATTCCTTAGTTACGATTCTATGTAGATTTTTGGCAGGGTACTTAGAAATAAATAAAAATAATAGTAACATGCAACAGAAGATGACAAGTACATTTCATGGCTTTTGTGTTATCAACAGGTGTTAGGTGAGACAGCTCTTGTGTTACATGATGTTGCCTCCACACAGAGAGATATTTTTATTAGCAAGATGCATTATGTGTGAATGTGAAAGATTGTTCATATTAAATGTCAAATAAACTTACTTCCAACCTCTCTCAAGTATTTCAGAAACTGAGAATAAACAGAATTTTCAACTTTTCTGTTGTTTGATCCTTCTTCACTGAATTCAGGTTTCAAAAAATGAATGACTTTTCTCACATTAAGAGTTGCTGCTTGGCTAGGTCTCAACAGGTGCAAAAACAGGGGAAGCTGGCATCCAAGCTGTTAAGATAAAAATACTAAAGAACTGAATCATGCCCACAAAACAAATGTAAGTTTGGAAATTTTTACATGGATGAAATAGTCTAGTACCGGGGTATGTTCATCTACACGCTGTGCTCTAAAAAAACTGAAGAAAGTTCACCAATGCTCTTAACCAGTGCTATCCAGGGTGTGTGTCATATGATTTCTACAAGAAAACTAAGATTTTACAGTCACCCAGGAGCAACACTGCCAGAGTTCAGCCTTGGTATGACTGTGTGATTGACTGTCTGATAAGGGATAGTCTACGTTTTGCTGATAACAATAAAAAAGCCTTCTACAATTTTGATCTATTGTTTCATAAATAAGTTTTTGAGAAACCTTTTCTATGGCTCATGTTTGTTGTCTTCTATTAACACTCTATGTAATACTATAACGCGCAGAACAATAATCGCCAGAAGTGAAGTTACATGAGGAAAGACCCCTGAAAATTAATGCTGAAAGCATGTGTGGTTTTGTGTCCCTACCTGATAAATACCAACTTTCGTTAATCCATCTCGTAATTCTGCCAGACAAGGTGTAAGTTCACTTGTGCTAAAGATGCTCTGTATCATTTCTTCAGTCATAAAAGTAGATATCTTGCCATTCTGGATGATACTGAGTCCTTTTGTAAGAATTAGATGCTAATTAATCAATTGATTTTGGGCATTGTGTCCATACATACACCCACATACATTTTACAAATTTACATGCTAATTACACTTGCTTGTTACCTACCATAGATAACCCCAATCAAGGTGTAATTCTCTCTCATCAGTTCTCGCAATCCATGATCAAAATAGGTACTTTTAATTTCCATTAACACCAGACGAAAGAATTCCTTACGGGGACCACCATAGTCTTGGGCTTCCTGGTGGTACCAAAAAGATCAACACCAAAAACCACATTATCATATGAAACCAAACATTTAACCACCAATTACAACTATTAAAAACTGTTTATAACATAGCTAGAAAATTCGCCTAATCAAATTCAATAGCGCGAGCGTGCTTCATATTCCTAATGAGCACGCTGATGACGTCAATAAACTATTCGTAATTCCTCGAGTGGTTGTGAGCTTAGCAATCCTGAGTCTCCTGAGTGCATCCATAACTCAGCAATAGACAAGGAAGCGTTTACGATGTGTTTTATAAGGAAATTTAAGAGGAAACGTTTGAATTTGTTAACCGGAAAAGAGGAAAAGAGGTGAGTGTTGTTGTTGTTGTTGTTGTCATCTCCGCGAGCTGTGCGGGCTATGGCGTGAGTTCATTCTTTGCAAACTTGTTTTCTCTCAATAACAATTTTTCGGTAAATTAATAGTTTTCCAGCACCTAAATATGGATTTTATAATCATTTTAGAGTACACTTTCTCTCAGTTTCAGGATAAAAACATAAGATTAACTGTGAGGAAAAAAATATATAGTCACGTAAACATTGACGCGTACTGCTTTGAGCGCACCCTACAATAATAAAATTATAAGTTAACTGATGCATTGATCGCTTTGATGATGTTATAAAACAATTAGTTCATGCTGCAGCTGTGCGTATGTCGAGTTATTGAGCACTTGGGAAGTTTGGAGAGCACTCAAGAGGCTAGAGTTGCACTCGGCTGCGCCTCGTGCAACTCTTACGCCTCTTTGGTGCTCTCCAAACTTCCCGCGTGCTCAATATCTCGACATACGCACGCTGACGCATGAACTAATTGTTAATCTGAGTATGGAGTTTACTCCAATAAACCCTGCTCCCAAATGAGTCACTCCAAATTGATAATATTGACAAAGCTGTGCTGTGGCACTTATTTCAGTAAAATATAGAATGATATGATTTTGATAACGGACAGCTTGACAAAAATGAAATGCTTATTACCTGTTACTAAGAAAAGGTAAAAAAAATATACATGCAGTGATGGTAATATGAATGAGTGGGGTACTATCCATGGAGCAATCAGCAATCAGGTCCTAGTGGCTTTCAACATTTGACATCACAATCCTGAACACCCTGAATTATGACAGGAATTCCTCTATGAATTAACAATAAATACAAAATAATTGTGTCAACAACAAAAAGCGAGAATCTCAGGATTTGAACATTAAAAGTCCAAAGTTCTTATACATTAGCTTACAGCTTTGACACAGCTTCGTTTCAACTTTTGCACAAACTATCAGAATATGGAGCACAGAGCTTAAAGTGCATCAACTTTTTTGAATAAATTTTTTAACATAAAAAAAATTTGTCAAAAAAATTGAATTGCTGACTGGACTAATTCAGGTTGATAAACCCTACAGGGTAGCAACAATAATTGATGCTTGATTTTCATTGGCTGTTAAACTGTCCAACTTCACCTGTCTGATTACATAGATCTTCTAAACGGACAGGCAAAGCTGGACAGTTCTGGTGCTACATCAGCCAAATTAAGCAATATCTAAGGGCAGTTGAGAACTAATCAGATTCAAAAATTCTGTTGTTGACACAGTTATGGCATAAATAAAACTGTTTCCTATATCAAATAATGTCGCAAGAGTAGTACCTCTTCATAAAATTGCACTTCTAAGGTCTTTCTGTAGTCTTGCAGACAACTTAACTCATCAAATGATGATTGAAGTAGGTTTGAACGATCAACCATAATATAATTGGTTTCTCCTTCTGTTGGTTCATGTGCACTTTCAACTTCTAGCTCTCTTCCAGTGACTATGTTTCGTTGAAAACACCGTAAGATCTCTACTGGATTGTGGACATCATGTGTCTGGCAATAATGGACAGTTTTATTGACCACTTCATCCACTGACATTTCTGCCATGGTTAAGGGTGTGTCAATACTAGAGTCTTCTCCACTTGAATTAAAAGATGGAGGGTTAGCTGGATCTGGATTCATGGCAGTAGAACTTCTCTCTACAACTGAAGGGCTGTGGGAAACCAGGGAATCAACAGCAGAAGTGGTGAGATTCCCCTGGGTGCTTTCCAAAACTACATGGCTTGAAACAGCTGTTGTAGTTGTTGAGGACCCAAGAGTTGTTGGTCGTGTTTCAAACACAGAAGTGTGCAGGGTTGAATCATCGATCTCATCTTCTGCATCTTCACAATCCCATAGATGCTTTCTTAGTTCACGAACCAAAATCTCTTTCTTGCATTTGTTACATTTTTCTTTAAGTGCAGATTCAGCGCCCTTTAGTGCAAGGGGTCTCGTAGAAAGGGATTTCTGTATAGGTACCAGATACAATTTGCCTTGTCCACCTCCCAGATTGGCTCTGAGGTCCTTTGCGTTCCATGCACAAGTAATTCGAGTTAAGTCCCTACAGTTCGGACTGCACTGCATTAGCTCAAAGCCGCCACATGTTCGAAGGGCGGGAAATCCTTCTGGTAATCTTTTCCTTAACGGTATTCTCATCGTCTTCAAGATCGAGCTTAATCTTCTTCAGTCCAAGTCCAGCTTTGAAAAGTATTTGCTTTTCAACTGATGTGGGCGTTTTAAAACAAAACCGGTCGGCTAAACAAACAAAGTGAGCGGTCCATAGCTTTGACTTTGTGGTTGTTTTTCTTCGTTTAGAATCACTCCCAGAGGCTCCTCTCCCTTGCCTTCGCGGATTAAACAAAGCTAATCGCTCTTCTCGATTTTTTGATGTGGATGCATGCGAAACTTCGGAATCTTCCTGCTTCCTTGTCTTGCAAAGATTGCGAAGACGTATACGGTCCCCGATGGTACAAACACCAAGTCGAGCTAACTCGCTGTCTGAAGCTGAAATTACGGTGTCAACTTCCACTTTCTCATCATTAAATCTGTCAACTAGAGTTCCCAAATTCAGTTTTCGAAGGATGTCATCCATAAATGTAATAGATAAAAATGACCTGTAAGATTAGGGTTACGAAGGCGGGAAGAAATTGCTCTTGGCGCTATTATCGGTGTGTACGTCATGTATGGTACATGTTCGCTAACCGTAGCCGCTCGGTGACCACGTGACCAGTCGAAACGGTGGGCTCTGGGGACCAGTCTCACAAATACGATGTGAGCATGTGCTTTGGAGTAGTTTAGATGACCAGATATACTGGCTCAGCGAATACCATGTTACAAATGCACCGAATATAATGCTATATGAACCGAATCGCTGAACACCGAATAGCAAGTTGTTTGCACCGAGTAGCAATATGTTCGCACCGAACCAGATGCTAAACTGACCACAAATCAGGTGCAAACTGACTACGGGAAAAGCACCGAGCATAGCAAACTAGCCACCGAATATAAAGAAAGCGGCGCCGCTAAAATTGATCCAAGTACCGAATATAATGGCAAACGCACCGAGTATAAAGCGGTTAGCAGTGAGTATCATGGCGTGCACACCGGGTATTAAGTGGAAAGTACCGAGTACCTTGGATAAAGAGCCGAGTATAAGGTCACTGGCACCGATTATAGCAACCAGAGCACCGAATGTCATGATGCAAGCACCGAAGATAATAAGAAAAGCACCACGGATAGGAGAACAAAATATCATAAGACAGTTATCGCGTTCCACTGTCGTCTGTATCTGAGGTGTTGTCAGATAGTAGAGAAGTACCAAAAGTAAATCCCGATGCTATCTTCAGCCCCCGAAAGAATGGACCAGATCTGATCTATTTCGCAGAAAACTTCACAAAAAATTGCGTTACTCCCGATTGCTCCCAAATTTGGCACAAAGGAAGTTAATAGATTTAGCCAATCACCTGCCTAGTTCCAGCCCCTGTGGACTTTTGACCGTGACACACCGAGCTTTCGAAAATTTTGAATTTTATGGCGAGTCGCGGGGAATTTTTGTGAGCCGATTTTGCGAAGAATGCAAGCTTGTATCAACGAATGTCAACCAAATACAAGTCAAGCAAACTATTCTGAAGGATTTTGGAGGATAACAAGCAAAATAAATGCGAAAATTAAAGTAAGGAAACGCTTAGAATCTGTGCATGCAAATCGCCGATCGCGGTACTCTGTGCCACATGTGCTTGAAAAGGCGACGATTTCCTTCCCGTTTTGCCTTCGCTTCGCTTTTCGCCGTCAAATTCTTGCTTATTTTGATGAATGCTATCAGCAAATTCATGTCTGCTTGTCTCTAACTCGACATTTTTTGGGGAATCCAGGAAACAAAGCGTCTTAGTGAAGTAAACATGTGGTCACGAGGTGACGCCAAAGCATTATGCTAATTATGATAATCTAATTAGCATAATCATGACAGCGTGCAGAAAAAAATTTGGAGAAAATTTCCTAGTGGCTCCATATTTTAGAACGATTTTCAGGGTTTTTTTGCTTAGATATTGATGAAAAAAATTTCTTCCTACCATATCACCCGAAATAAAGAAGTTTCCTAGCTAAATGACATTCTTTAAACATTTTAAACAATTTTTATTCAAAATCATCATCATCATCATCATCGGTCGGCTGCAGAGCAGGCGACTACGAGCTTCCTCCAGCCACAACGATCTTGTGCCAATTCAGACAGCTTGCCCGGGCCAATCATGTTGTCTGTGTTTCCCAAACGGTGTTGAATGTATCTGAGAAACAGGGTTCGTTGCCTTCCTGGTTTTCTCTTCCCATGTAGTGGGGATCTGAAAAGAAGGAAAGGGCTTGCATGGACAGCTTTTAGGAACTGGAACGTCTGTGGAGATGCCCTAACATCTCTATCTCCACCATGATCAAGCTATTTAATACTACCTGTGTCACTGTCCTTCTATATGGCTGTGAGTCGTGGGTCCTGTCGAAAGCAATGGAAAGCGAGATCAATGCCTTTGGTACCTCATGTTATAGAATTATGCTCAACATCAAGAGAATTGATAGCGTGTCCAGTGCTAAAATTTATGATCTAACTCAGACTGCCCCGCTAGTAGAAAATGTCAGAACCCGCCAACTGAGGTTTCTGGGCCATGTACTCAGGATCACTGATGATGAGCGATGCAAGGAGTACGCACTGTATTCAAAATATGCTTTTTTAATTTTTTTTGTGGCGGAATATTATGGGTTTCCTACGACCGAAGTATTTTTTTTTCGAAAGGGTATTCTTTTCCCTTTCCAATGAGGTATAGCTTGATATTGAAATGAAAATAACACCAGAAATATGATTTTTTAAAGTTACATGGCAAAATACCGTAAAATTCCGAAAGTAATCCCCGGGGCTTATATTTTTCAAAGGCCCTTCTTGAGGGGCTTATTTTTTGAAGGGGCTTATATTGGGAGGGGCTTATCTACGGAAGGAAATTTGCGTTTCAAAATCCATTGGGCTAGCCTCATACTTGGAGGTAAATTTACCGTTTTTGCTTTGTTTTACTTTGTATTTGAGGGCAATTTTCCAAGTACAAGCCCCCAGGGGGCTTATATTTGGAGGGGCGATTCAACGGAGGGGTTTTTGCGTTACCGGTTTGGGGGGCTTATATTTGGAGGGGCTTATACATGGAAGGGCTTATTTTCGGAATTTTACGGTATATTAAAATAATTGGCTGAAGACAATGAGTTTTTAAGCTGTACTGCTACAGCGTTGACTAATCAAGGAACTTTCGGGAAACTGAAAGTGAAATTAAATATGTTACTAGTGAATATGACCTGACCTGACTGAGTCTGACTGAGTCTAGGGGAGGAAGGTACTTTGTTAAATGGGTGTTTCAAAAGCTATGAGCGCGAAAAAGAAAAAAAGAAGAAAAAAACAACGTGATTTTTGGGGCTGTTTTGTCACGTTAAAATGATAATTTTAAGTTAGAGATGAGTCCTTAAAAGAGCGCATCTCTTATTTGGCTTACTGGCGATATTGACAAATTTCCTCCTGTCTCACCTCCCTAACTGCAGAAGGAAAACAAGGAGGGCCTTGTTTTTAATGTCACATGATGGACTATGTGGACTTTAGAACAATACACACGATCTCCAAAAACAACAATGACAAAGTAAATTTATGTCTTATTTCCTTCTCTATAAATCGCCAGAGTTGTGCATGTATAGACAGTGTATCAAACTCTAAAGGACTCACTTTGATATCTGATGTGGCTGCCGTTTATTCCTCTTTTTTTGAATCGATTACTTAGGGAAGCCACTCAATCACAGATTAAAACATGTTCTAAGGTATTCTGAAGGCCAATGAACTGACCAAATTATGGCATCACTTGATCGTCGAAGGCATCTGATTGATCAGAGATAACTTCTCCAGAGTAACATTTTTCACCTCAAAGTGTCATCATCTTTTCTGTTCTGTATTGACTGTATTCTTGTCGATATTCATAGAGAATTATTTAGTGCCGAAAGTAAACTGCGGTGAGAGCATCGCTTGTAAAAAATTGATCAGTTCCGAGAAAATTTCGCTTCAAATATGTAAGTCACTGATAGGTGTACTTACGATTGTACAAACCTTTTCCGTCCTGTTTTAATTTCTTTTTGGGGCTTTCGAAGTGTGCCCAAAGTGAACTGGAATGCGATCTAACTTGCTATATTGTTCACTTTCGAGGGAATTCTCAGTGAAATCGAAAGTGAAATTAAATGACTGTTTCGGTCAAATGACTTGACTGAATTCCTCCGAGTCTCACGGAATAGAGGGTGTTTTCTTGAATGAGTGTTTTAACTTTAACGCACAGTTCAAAAGAAAATAAATCACTGACACACACCCTGAGGTTATCTCCGTCAGACTGCACTGAAACTGCTAAATTCATAATACCGCTTGATCTCCGTGCACATCTAACAAGGTCTAAACACTAGATTAGAAATAAAATTGAGAGTAAATTTTCGCTTCAACTTCGTACTTGCGTTTAAACACATTTCCGTTGGCCGGCCTGCCGTCGTAATCGAGGCGTTTTCGGATAGTAGAGTGCCGAAAGTACTGAAATTGCGATGCGATCAAATCTGTGAAGCTGTACTGCTACAGCGTACTTGACTATCAAGGAAATTTCTGGGAAACTGAAAGTGAAATTAAATATGCTATCGAGTGAATATGACCTGACCTGACTTTCTCTGACTGAGTCTAGGGGAGGAGGGTGCTTTCTTGAATGGGTGTTTCAAAAGCTATGCGCGCAAAAAATAAAAAAAAAGAAGAAAACAACGTGCTTTTAGGGCTGTTTTGTCACGTCAAAATGAGAATTTTAAGTTAGAGATGAGTTCTTAAAAGAGCACATCTCCGATTCGACCTACTGGCGATATTTGCAAATTTCCTCCTGTCACACCTCTCTCACTCCAGAATGAAAACAAGGAGAGGCTTGTTCTTAATGTCACATGATAAGCTATGTGGACTTAAAAAATATTCATGATCTCCAAACAAACTAACAACAATAACAACGTAACAACAACAAACTAAATATTAGTAAACAAAGAAGAGAAGGATTGCTGACGGACAAGATTAAATTGCCATTATCCAGCCGGTGCTGCGTCCCTGATATAAGGCAATCCGCAAACCGGAA